TACAAGTAGTATTAGTGGTAGATGCAGAAGTAGTAGTATTACTAGCACTAGAAGTACCAGTAGTAGTAGCAGTAGTAGTAGTACTATTAATAATATTGGTATTGGTAGTTGTTATATTGTAGTACTGTAGTAGTAGTAGGAGGAGGAGGATTAATATTATCAGTGTTAGTATAAGCAGTTGTAGTAATAGTAGTATCAGCGTAGTAGATTAGTTGTGGGAAAGTGGATTATTAGCAATAGCAATCGTGTAGTGTTTTAGTAGTTTAGTGGTGTATCAATGTAGTAGTAGTCCTAATGGTATATGAATGTAGCAGCAGTAGTGGTATAAGTATTGAAGAAGGGTAGCAGTGAATCAGGGTAGTAGTTTATCGGTAATAGTAGGGTAGGAGCAGTAGTAGTAGTAGTAGTAGTGTAACAGTAGTTGTCTCGTAGTAGTATTAGAAGTATTAGTAGTGTCCTACTAGGTGTACTAGTGCAGTAGTTTATTAGTGTAGGAGTATTTAGTTATTGTAGAAGTTTCATTACTAGCAGCGGTAATAATGTTGGTAGTATTAGTAGTTGCTTAGTTCTGTAGGAGTGTGGTAGAATAATATTAATAGCAGTAGTGTGCTAATGTAGTAGCACTAGTACTAGAAGTGGAAGTATTACTACTGCAGTAGTGCACAAGTATAGTTACAAAGTAGTAGTGGTGGCGTAGTAGCGTAGTTGTGTACAAGGAGTAGTATTGGTATGGGTAGTAGATGTGGCGGTAGTAGTAGTGGTAGTACAAATAATGTAGTAATGAAGTTGTACAAGTACTAGTGCATTAGTGTCGTAGCAGTAGAATTAACACTAGTAGTGGAAGTGGTATTGTTGTAGTAGTGTAACAGCAGTGGCAGAAGTAGTTGTGCAGGTGTGCATTAGTGTAGTGGTGTAGAACCTTAGTATTGTGTTATTGTAGTAGTGTGATTGTGTAACGGTATTATTAGTAGGAGCAGTAGTATTAATAACAGCGTAGTAGAGAAGTAGTAAAGTATCAGCAAAAGAAGCAGGACTGTTGTTAGCGTTAGTTGTAATGGTGTACTATTGCAGTAGTAGTTGTAGTAGTATTTTGGTTGTATGGCAGTGACAATGGGTTCCAATGGAATATTATTCTCGCAGTAAAAATCATTGTGTTTGTTGGTGTTAACGTCTGAATACTATTCCCATATTTTAGTAGTGAGTGCATTAGAAACAGAATACTATGTATTATTTGACTATTCTATTTGAGGTTAGAGACAGGATACTTTCCCACAGTTCACCACTGCATTAGCCATGGAATAATATATGTATTTCAACATTCTGTGTCATGTCGTTTAATGTAAACCAAAATCATACGCTCAGTGATTGGTTATAGAATAAAAATACCTTGGCCTCCATGTCTTGCCTCTACCGTAATAGTTGTACTTGTAGTATATCAAAAATGCAGTAGTTTAGTGTTTTATTAGTGTAGTAGTAGCACTAGTATTGGTAGAATTAGTATTGTATTAGAGCAGCAGTGTTGTCATGAAGTAGTAGTGGTGGTACAATTTCAGCAGGAGTAGTAGGGAAGTAGTACATATTGAAGTACTGTAGTAGTGTAATAGTGTAGCACTAGGAGTAGTATTAGTAGCAGCCATAATAGTCTGTCCATCTGTCTGGATTCAACATAGAACTTGGCACCGAAGTGCACCAGTTCGAGTTGCCACGTTCCAAATAGCACACAAAGGTGGACAAGAAGATGAGTGAAGAGAATCAATAGAGTTTGACAAGTATAAGAGTGAAACAGAATGGACAGTGGGAGAAAGAAATATGAAAGATTACAGAGACTGAATACATCTGCGCTGGCCATTGACAACGATTTTGAGCCATGTCACCTAATGTCTCCAGCCATTGATTCCTAGAGTCCCGAGGGCCCCAACCCGGAAGTCTGCATCTCCCTCCCTACCTGACTCAGTTTAACAGTCAAGGATTTCATGGATTGATGCCACGTTTTTGTTTGGCCACCACTTACTCTTTTCCAACCTGCACCTATATCAGCTAGTAATGCCCGTCATCGGGGGAGGCGATGGTTAGACATGCGCAGCACGTGACCCAGCCATCTCAATCTATGTAACTTTATAGCCTCGTCGATTGATTTTCCCTGTTTGCCCAACACTCTACGCCTAACGTCAACATTACTTACCTTGTTAAACCACCTAACGTGAGACAGAGATCGCAGACATCTATGATCGAAAGCAGTCAACCTTTTCATGTCTTCAACGCGTATTGGCCATGATTCAGAGCCATAGAGAAGGACGGAACGAACTGCTGAGCGGTACACACGTCCCTTGGTTGATAGCCGGATGTCACCCCTACGCCGTAATAGTTGTGGCAGCTTAGTTGTGTAGTGGTGCCGTAGTCGGGTAGTGGTAGTCGTAATGTGGTAGTAGCGTACAAGTAGTAGTATTATTGTATTAGTTTATGAGTGTAGGAGTAGCAGTAGTATGACGAGTAATAATAAAAGCGGTAGTAGTAACAGCAGTAGTGTAGCAGTGTCGGAGTATTAGTAGTACTACAGTAGTTTAGAAGTATGGAAAAGAATTAGTAGTAGTAGTGCTGTAGCACTAGAAGTAGTAGTTCATGAGTGCAATGGTACAGTAGTGTATTAATAGCCGTAGTGGTATTAATAGTGGCATTAATAATACTGTATTGGTAATAGTGTTGTACAGCATTAGTGCTGTCGTGTACTAGCATAGTAGTGTAGTAATATATAAATGTAGGAGTAGTAGTGGTAGTAATAGTACTGGTACTAGTAGTTATAGTAGAAGCGTAATAGTGGATTAAGAGTAGTGTTATGAGAATTAGTGTATTGATGTACTAGTATTAGTACATTAGTGTAATGGCGTAGTAGTGTAGTAGTAAAATTATTAGTATTAGTAGTTGTAGTATCAGTGTAGCGGAGTAGTTATAGTACTAGGGGCAGTTCGGCTGTATATTAGTATAGTTGAACTATTGATTGTAGTAGCAGTGCAGCATTGTGGTAATGCATTAGTGTATCGGTTAAGTAGTGACGCAGTTTAGTATTTTAGTAGTGCAATAGTGTATAAGTGGGCTAGTAGTAATAGCCGTGGAATTACTAGTAGTGATAAGAGTAGTCGTACAGTGTTTTAGTAGTGTAGAATTCCAGTAGTAATACAGTACTGTAGTTGTATCACTGGTGATAGTGGTTTCAGTAGTACTTTAGTAGTAGTAGTGGTAATGATAGTAGTGGATTAGTTCAGTGATGTAGTAGGAATAGTAGTAGTGCAGCGACAGAAGACAAGGGCCAGGCAACAGATCATTTATTGATAAAATCAACAGATATTTACAGATTTTTATGTACATTATTATTTGTTGTTGTTAACGGAGAAGCAATGTGTTCTGATTGTTTGTTTTTTCGTTCAAGGGTATTCTGTCATCTCTTTGTTGCCGTTTCTTAGACAGTCCGGTGACATATCTGCGAATCATATCCACCCACGCTAAGTCTGCTATGGTTGATTGCTCAGTTCCTCAAGGTTAGGCTTTGTCCTTGTTTTTTCTCATGACCAAGATTTGAGAGGTAAACATCAATGCAAATTGCTGTCTACCAATTTTGGATAGCAGACAGCTCTCACCACAGAAGCAGTAGTGTTGTAGTCTAGTGACAGTGCAGTAATATGTTCGCGTAGTATTGTACTAGTGTAGCAGCTTACAAATATAGTAGTGCAGTGGTGTAGTAGTTCTAGCGCGATAGTTTAGCAGTGTCATAGTAGTCGTAGTTTTATTAGTGTTACTCTTAGTAGTCAGTTAGTGAATAAGTATAGTCGTCTAGTACTGGTAGGTGCAGTATAACTAGTATTAGCAATAGTAGTGGAAGTGTTATAAGAGGTAGTGTAACAGCCCAGTAGTGTACTAGTGTGTTACCCTAATATTGAAATAGTGTAATGTTTTAGTGTCTTACTGCAGCAGTACTAGCACTAGTATTAGCGGTAGCAGTATCTGTAGCGCAGTAGTATGTAATTGCAGTAGTAGTATCAATACTGGCGCCGTAGTGTAATACTGTAGTAATAGTAGTAGAAACGGTAGTGTTGTATCAGCACTGTAGTATCAGTACTAGTAGTGCGGTAGTGAAGAGTTGCAGTATTATGATTGGTAGTAGAGTAACAGTTTAGTAGTAGTCTCAGTAGTATTAGTAGAAGTAGTACTTTTAGTATTACTAGTAGTATTGTGGAAGCTTAGATGTGCAATAGTGTATTGGTTTGGAATTAGAGAATTAGGATCAGTAAGAGTGCAGTATTTCATTATTTTTTACTGTGAAGTAGTATGTTATTCGTAGTGTAGTATCAGTAGAAGTAGTGGTAGTAATAGTAGCAGTCTTATTAGCGATAGTATTCCAGTAGTGCAGTGGTGTATTAGTGTATTATTGTAGTTGTGTGATAGTTTAAGGTATTAGTTATAGACTGTTAGTGTTGTAGTAGTGTGATGGTGTGATACAAACAATGTGTGCTAACGAAACATCATTCTCACATATTCCCATAGTTCAATAATGCATTGGCAACAGAATACTACGTATATATATATAGTGTTTCGCTGTATTAGTTTAGTAGTTCATTAATGTAGTTATGTACTGTTGTTGTAGTGCGTTAATGTAATAGTAGTAGTGGTAGTACTAGTTCAGTTGGTCAGTAGTGTAGTGTATTATTCTAGTAATGTAATAGTGAAGTAGCAGTATTAGTATTAGTAGTAGTAGTACTATTGGTAATGACAGTAGTGGTAGTGGTAATGCATTAGTTCAGTAGTGTAGCAATGTAGTAATAGTTGTTGTTGTTGTTTTGTGGTAGTAGTAGGTAGCGTAAAAGTGTAGTAGTGAGGATGTGTATCGGTGTATTAGTGTAATAGTGATAATAATAATAGTAATAGAGCTCATCCATAATAAGATATTGTGAATATTAGGGAATGGGAATCAGAGGTGTTGATTGATTACTTCGATTCAAAAGCCTTACCTCTCCTCTATTGTCCCTTTGTGCAACAAGACCCAAATCAGGTACATCAATCAATTTCACCTCTACACCGTATGCAATACAGCCCAATATACCAGTTCGGTACTCTCCAACAACTGAGATAGTTGCGACCCCGGTAGTTTCTGTACAACCATAACTTTCAATGCCCTAAATTGTTTCCAATAAAAAAGAAGGGAAATTTAAAATTAAGAGTTTAGAATTATAACAGTTCACATTAAAGCATGTAAAAATTAAACACTGCTACAGAAACTTCAAGCCACTAGCTTGAGGCCCTATGTTCCACTGGGAACGTGAAGGGAAAAAACACTAAAGCATTACATGTAGTTGCTTTCTTTAAGGTTATAAATACGTTGGAGACGATTTCATAATCACACACGATCACTAATTTCTGAAGCCAGGGAAAATTACAACACGTTTGTAACCAACAGTGATAACTACACAAAGGACTAGTGACAAAAAATAGGTATCTAATCTATTCCACCATTAGAATGACCAGTGAGCTAGAATTTGAACACATTTGTTTTAATGTGTTTAAACAGCCAACAACAATCTGCCAGATATAGCAATACAGTTTAAAAATTAGATAACATAAAGAAAAAACTATACTCCGATCGAAAGTGTTCAGCCGCATCTCTTTTCTCCTTTGCTGAACATTTTTGATCTCTTTACCTACGATTAGAGGATGAAATTCTGTGGACTCTACTTCAAACTGTATCTACAAGTTCACCTGCAGCTGCGGTGACAGGTATATAGGTAGAACCAATGGAATGTTCCAATATTGTCGAAAAGAACATGTTCCAAAGTGGCTACTAAATCATATAGAAAATCCCAACATGATTAATTTGAATAGAAATCTAGCTCATCCATTGCAAAACACTCATTGTTGTTATGTCACAAAATCAATATTAATGACTCCTTCACAATTATTTCACATAACTCTAATTCAAGGCTATTGAAGGTGATGGAAGCACTTTGGATTATTCACATAAAGCCTAAACTGTGTGTACAAAAAACAATAGACTTCAATCTTTGCCTACCATGGACAACATGACCTATCTAAATATGATTAGTCATTAGTTTTCTATTTAACTGATTAATTGTCATGATCTTTATTATTGTTAACCATGTAAGTTGTAAAGCGGTTGTAAGAAAACTACGAAATGATATCATCTTGCGAAATTTGTCTTCCTAATGCCTTATTCACAAATACAAATAAAAGACAGTGGGCAGCAAGAGTGCTAACAAAAATATTTACGTCTCATAATGGATCGAACCAAGGATATACATCTAGAAGTAGTAGTATTTCTATACTGTTGACTTTCAATAAAGACAAGACTCATAAAAAACAGTAACTCATTCCTTAAAAAAGAAATTCCAAGTCATCAAATTTATAGATTTATACACAGCTAAGTTATTAAAATTTAACTATGACTTACGATGCCATTAAACACTACGCGCATAAAACTCATAATTTCAGGTAAGAGTGGTGCACCACCAGTTACTATGCCACAAACTTGTCCACCAAGAGCCTGACGAAGCTTTTTAAAGCAAAGTGTATCCAAAAGACTTCGATGATTAAATTTTCCTCTAGTAAAGACAAAACAAATGAATATTGGTTAATTCGTTTCGAAATCGACAGTAAAGGCAACCAAAAGCAAATTCAGAAAGACATAATGAAACGCGAACAAGCCTTTAATTAGAAAATTAAGTGATCACAGTGGCGTAGGACGACTGAAACTAATGTGACAAGAATTCACTGACAAATGAAATCATCTTATTTTCTCTTTATTTTACCAAGACCTTCATTTTAGTAAAAATTAGCCTGAAAAAGTATCTCAAAGTGTTTATAATTTGCTGTTCAAATATCACTTGCAGGACGTCTACTAATGTAGCTTGCATACTAACTGATAGCTATGATTCAAATTTGAAGTATGGAAATTGTGCTAAGCAGTACGACTCCATGTTGCACTGTACATAAAGTTAGGCATTAGATATCAAAACGAGAAACTTAGCACCTAGATCCCATGGTTGTTAGCACTTAACCACAGTGTCAGCAAAACATTAATCAAGGAGATTATACAGAAATTATTTAACATCTTTGTCCTGTGAAAATTAGATTTTCGGATTGTTCACATAAAAAATCTAACAATTTTGTTAAATAACACAATCCTCACTTTTCTGTCGCTTATCTGCATTGCTGCTATTCGGTTTTACAATAGCTAACCCATGCATATCTACGACATCATTATTTGAAGTTGTCAGTAGTATCCTACGAAGTTGCATGCCTTAAAGTGCAGTTCGAAACTTTTATAAAACTTAGTATACAATTGATGGATGGTGGCTAGCAGTGGAATCCAGGATGCGCATTTCGTCCTATTTGGGACTCGTCATCTGGATGTACGTGCATTTCTCAGTGAGTGATGATGTTCCCACTGAGACTCGAACCCAGTTCCCATAGTTTCAAACGCCAAAGCGTTATCCACTAGACCACTTGGGCCGCGAGAGCCACTTCTTGTGCAACGGGTCATATTAATTATTTAATTGAATTTTTGATTTTCCCGTCGATTGACTGGACCAAAGTTCTCGGTTTCAGGTTGACACGTCGGCTTCTTGTGCAGATGCCTCGACGATGTCTGGGCATTTAACTAATATACAATCGACGGGAAAATCAAAAATTCAATTCAATTTATAAAACTTAGTTTCGGATATCAGCATAGAAATATTACTACAATACAGTGAAATATGTCAGACATACCGATGAACAATTTTCAAACAGAAAAGGTAATAAAGAAAATCATAATTTAATCAGCAGATGAGTATTATAATTTCCACTGATAGTTCAGATTTAAAAGATTTTTGCACTAAATATTGGTTAGGATGACATACTTACTGTTTTTGTTCAGCTAGTTTCCGCTTAAGCACATGGTCATACAAACGAGTTTTCAAAGCTGACCCACTAAGAGCTTTTTGATATTTCGAATATATTCGAGTTAAAACGCGAGGAACAGCTCCTAACATAGTTGGCTTTAAATCTGCACAGTCAGCCATTAGTCCTTCAATCGTATTTGTCAAAAATCCCATTTTAGCACCTTCGAGGATTACAACAGACTAAAGCAAAGCGAAAAGTGATCAGTTATATCCCACTGAAACAGATGCATTATGCTTAAATCCACAATAAAACTGAATGAACTTAGAAACAACAATGAATTTAAATAAAGCTTATTTATAAGTGTGGAAAGTTTTCATCAACAGATTTTCGTTAGTTTTCAGTTTAAATTCAAATCAGATATTACTGTACTAAAAAAGGAGATAATAACATGAAAGCGATTTCTTTCTACAATGAAGGGAAGCTTAACAAATTTAGTGCACGTTAATAACCTGATGATGAATTCATTTTCGGTATTTTACATCACCCTTGAGCGGGACGTCCAAGGGTAACATGGAGGAGATCGTGTGAAGAAGAGTTGAAACAGTATGGACTGACATGGATGCAGTTGAAAAGTACAGCAGAAGACAGAAGCAAGTGGAGACGTGCAATTGAAGCCCTATGTGCCACTAGGAACCCAAGGGAACAATAACAATTATTATTATACATCAAAATCAGTAATTAAAGGACTGAAATCATGCATAAATTTATGGGTAAAGGGCTTCTACTGAAATTCAGCAATAAAACACTACGAAGATTACAAGATTTCTGAAATAAACATGCTGTGAAAACTGAAACATCATATTACCTGTTAGGTCACAGGATAAAATAGTTAACAGTTTGCCGAAGATTTCGCATCAGACCTACCCAGCTTTTACAGACTGTTTCTGAACTAATGCAGAGACTGAATTCAGTTTTAATCGCGCTTTCCAGTCATTTGCGTTTGACATTTCAAGATGCAGCTATGTCAGTTGACAGTAAGACCAATAATAAGTTCATTTAAAAATATGTAGAGCTTGAAATTCTTCTTTTATTCCTTTACATTCCCAGTAGAACATAGGACTTTGAGCTGGAGGCCTGAAGTTTCCGTAGTAGTGTTTATTTCCACAGGATGAGGTTGTTGGTTTCATGCCCAACCGTTCCTCTTCACCAGCCTTATTACAAGCTTAGCGAGGTTCAGGAGTGCGTCGGCCGGAGATCGAACCCGGGACCATGTGCATGGTCGGCGAGCGTCCTAACCGCTGTGCCACCGATGGTCAAAATATTAAATGAAATGAAATAGTAGAAAAATAAAAATTTTTTTACAAAATCTAGCATCTCATTTGTTCTCAGTGATCAGTAGACAGATTATATGGTAAACGACATGCAAGCAAAAGCAAAAACACCCAGGGAGCAAAAAGACTACCTCATAGGCAGTACAAACATGTGCATCAAAAGTGCAGAGGAAAACAAAGATTCTCTAAGCAACAACTTGTAGAAACATTTCAAAAGTTTATTTCATTTCAATGAAAACCACTTAGAACAATGTACTGTCTGCAATGACAAAAAAAAAACTCAGTTTGCGTCTAAAACCAGGTTTTGGAAACCATGACAAAAGCCATAAAAAGCAAACATGAAATATGTGATATCAGTATTCCTGATTACATCGTTTGAGTCTAATTGAAGTACCTTACTTTTGCTTATCTTTACCAAAATGTTGAGAATTGTTAGGCTATAGGCTAATCAAAATCAAATAGGTTTGTCTTCTGAGACATACTTCAAAGCCGATCCAAACGAATATACACTTGAAAATTAACCCTGAGTGAGACTGACACGATAAATGAGGTGATAATATGCTTACAGAAATTATTTGCTCCATAATATGGCAGAATGGTAAATATGAAAGATGTCTTGTATGCGCATTGCAGCACTGAAACAAAATAAATTTGAAAAGAAAATATAAGAGCGCATACATAATATATAGTAGTCATCACAATGCGAAATACAAAAATACTTATTCCGCCTAATAATTTCACTGCAGATTACTAACACTAATAATGTACAGTTGGGATCCCTGGTAAATAAAAGGTGAATACTTCTTAGATTTCGTAATGTATAATCATGTAACACAGTGAACTTCTCTGATTCCAAAATTAATCATCGCATCATCTCTTTCAGGTGAATATGCTGCTAATATCACCAATATTAAAATATGTAACTTTCCAGATAAAATATTATAACCAAGATGATATAAAAAGTCATAGGATCCTTCTGCATTTCTATGGCAAATAAAGCCAGTGAATAATACTGACCACTTTTCAGTGAATGCCCATATGATAGAAAGTTGAGATTTCAACAAAAGATAAAAGACGATAATATATATATATATCTTTTGAACCCACGAACACGTTTTTACATCAATGTAAATTCACGTACTTTCCCATCTACAGTTTCAATGACAGACAACACAGCATCAACCATCTGACCATGCTCAATCATGACACCTTTTGGTAAACCTAGATAAAAAAAATAAATAAATAAAAGATTACACCCTTCATGAACTGCATAATGCTAGAGGTAAAGCTAACGGGATAAAACAGTAATAAATTTTATTCAGAATTTCTATAAATGAACACTAGAAAAACTAATAAAATTCCCCACCCCCCTGCTCGCCTATAAACTGTACAATTCATCATCATCATCATCATCACAATAATAACTCTGTCAGTAACATAGGTGTAAAATGTGGAGCAATCTGTCGTAGAAGTAGTCCATAATGGTTAAGAAAAGCAAGTGATCCGATTAAATGATGCCAGACTCTAAGGGAAGTAAATAAACTGTGTTTTAATGAAGATTTTTTATTATTTTTTATTTATTTATTTTTTTTTTATTTACAGCTTGATTCCACACTGTATTTTTGGTACAAGTATGGAATTTTCAGCATGGATATCGGTAGCCCAAATTTTGCAGGCCGACCATAGATATCAGGTGTGCGCCGGCGTGGGCTCGAACCCCGGACCATATGCATGGTCGGCGAGAGTCCTAACCACTGTGCCACCGACGCAAGATAAGATTAAGGAATGATAAGAGGAGGGTTGAAAATACAAACAAGTGGTGGTGAAATTATCTGTTAGTTAGGTCTTAATGAGCCAAGGGGTGGGGGATAGTGGCTGCTGTACGAACTTCTTTTGAGTGCATAATTTAGGTTTAATAGTTCGAATGCCTACCTCCTCAGTTATATGCAATAGACGAATACGGGGTAAATTGGGAAGATTCTATGAGATACGATGGATAACCTTGACTGTTTTCGTTTTCTCCGTTGAACGAACACTATCAACTAAATGTAATCTAGTTAAAAACGCAGTTACGGATGAATTTATATGTCGTTTGTCAAACCATGAAGGGAGATGTATTATTAAATGGGGAAGTCTTAAGAATGACTGCCGTAATTCCAGTTGGTCATGTGTAGTCATGTTCTCGTTCATTAACTCATATAATGATTAAAATCACAGCATCATTTTGGTATTAACTATTTAGTTATTAAAAACCACCACATTGGATTGCATTGTAATGGCTGAATAGTTGATGGATTCACCTCGTTACCCGATATAAAGGTTACAGGTGAGCGAACTAGCTGTTCAGTGCTGCTTGATTTTCATTGGTTCTGTACTACAATGTCGGTTTGCAGCAAAATTATTGAAATAATTTGAAATTCCTACACTCCAACACTCGGGAAGATGCAGAAATGTTTTAATCAATTAGGACTAAATAAAGCGCCTTTGACGTATTAGTTATCGATCTAATAAATGATCATGTACACATACATAGATACCTATGCCCATTACATTATCATAGTGTCATTCGTTTAAACAAATCAAATATTTATTTGAAGACAGAATAGTATTACCTGTACTTCCGCTGGTATAACAAATTATATACAAGTCATCAGGCTTCGGATTCTAAACAGACGTAAAAAGAAGCTAATATAAGGTCTTTCATGTATCAGGTAAAACCAATCGGTGTAATTGCGAGGAGAATAAAAGCTGATGGAAAAATTTATATCAAACGCAGAATTAACACAAACAGATAGTTTAACGGACAAAAGTCGATAAAAGTACTATCATTATTACAGGATATCTTGTTCAAGTAGATTTACAACTAACAAAGGTCAAGCAACTTTTGATGTTACAGTTGAAGACTTTGTGTGGACGTAGGCTTCACAACCGCATCATTCAGGTGGGAAAACATACCAATCGGAGAAACTGCATTACTTACAGTATCCGTGTTCGATAGTTTTAGGAAAATTCGACGTAAAATTCATGAGATATTCTGATAAATCAATGGAAATAAAATATCTACTTATGTAATAATTCTTAAACTACTCTTTGGTGCAGCCAAAAGTCGATAGATACGCTTCTCATGTTAACTCCAACTGTGTATTCAAATTTACTTGTATCTGAGGGAGCAGTTACACTGGGAGGACAGAAGAAAGAGCACACCTCCGATTTTCTGAACATGTGCCGAAAAGCCTATGTCTCAAGGGAACAAACTCTCATAGTAGCGCTATTACTAGACATCTCCTCGACACGCGTCATGAGGTAGAAATCGAGAAATCCTTCAAAATTATCAATAGACAAAGGAGATCCATTCTCCTCAAGTTTGTCGAAGCAATTTCTACCAAACGCTTGAAACTAGATATGTGTTCAGAAAGAAGCAGTTATTAGTCTTTCCTTGCCCTGGTAACTAGATGTTTTTATTCTCGCATTTGATTACGTAATATTTGTCTTTAACCTCACCCTCCTTTTATAATCTGTAATTTTGCTTGTCTCTTGTTTCTATGATTTGAATTGAACTCAGTACATTGTTAACTAATTTATTAGTCACTCTGCATCTAAAGGATATTTCGTCTTTATTACGTAACTCCCTTACCATAATATGCATACATTTATTTTGTTTAAACTTGAACTGCCAGTGTAAAAACTATATAAGCGGAATTTTCTGAGCACTGTTTACTAATTGTGGAACTTTCTCTCAACTGATAACATGTAAAATTTGCAAGTATGTTAAAACGTTTCTGTCCAAAACCTCATAATTTATTTAGGCTGTAAGCAGCTGATGGGAAGCCAACAAAATAAATGATGGTACCATATTATTGTGTACAAAACATTGTTGTTCTTGCTTTATTCAAATAAACATGAAGAGTCAGGTAAAACTTCCAAGATATCTAGTCATTTTTACTAAGTGTTAACATTTAATGTTACAGGAGGAAATGTTTTGCATGTCTGCAGCTGCTTTTAACTCAGTTAATGATACAACCAAAGCATGGTGTGTCATTTACCGTTAGTAAGGAATGATGAAACTTTATTCATATTTATACATCTTTTGACTGAGCACTGAGAACTAATCAGGTTCAGAGATTATATAACTTGATATCAGTGAATTTGAAAATTGCAACCGTAAAATAACTCTTCAAACGCGGCGTTTGAAACAATGGGCACTGGGTTTGAGCCTCGGCAGGAACTTCATCACTAACTGGGAATGCAGGTACATCCAGATGACGAGTCCCGAGTAGGATGAAATGCGCACCCTGAATTCCACTGGTAGTCACCATCCAACACTTAAATTCGTAAAATAACTCCTCTAAAAATGGGATTATTATCACTTAGCCTTAATAAACCCAGAATAATGCATAGTTTGTTGTATCAACAACTTCAGTAACCAGTTAGTTATTGTCAAAAAAGCTTAAAAGCTAAGCTATGTTGTTCAAACCACATACAAAACAACCAACCACACATACAACTACAACTGCACCCCTAACTGACACACACTGCAACAAAACCAAATACATTATATAATCCAAGAGTCAATACCTCAACAAACACAACTCATCACACAAACTCACAGACACAGAAAGCCAACAACACCATACACCAAAGCCAGAGGCTACAAATAACACAGCACAACACAAAAAACAATACATAATAATCACCTCCTCAACAAATGTACGATTCCAGATTGAAACAGCTACTTCGCTATCTCACCCACAATGGAATCGTTCCAACCTTCATGTAGTTCCCACTGCGGATCTGCGCTTACAAGAACAACACTTCCTCATACCAATTACACACAATCAATCATTAACAACAGAAATTTCGTAATATTATCACCCAAATCCAGTCGCATTTTAACAAACTGTTCATCGCATTCGCGTTTAATCTACAGGGCAACTGATGCGTTCACTGTAGGAAACTACTCCTTAGTATCATTACATTTATAATAACTTTTCAATCGGTAACATTTTCCATCAAGCGTGTATTAGTAAATTGTCTGCATGCTGTAAATTTAACGTTGCATCATCAAAAAGAGGTTTACTTGTAACCTTCCGCTTGATCCAACACATTGGCTTTATTGTTAGAAATGTATTTGCAAGCTTAGCCTATGTACACGACATTATAATATTTAGTGATAATGATAATATTATATATTCTCGTGACTAATATAACTGACAGTTTCAGTTAACTAGGCATTCATTTGTCAGCATTTAAATGCAAACTAATGCTTCACGACTTATCTACATCGACATCACAGTGAACATTTAAGTCCAAAACGAACCCAGTCAGTAATCACTTCACACACCTTACGTCCAGTAGATCGGTGGGAAGATGTAAAACACAAATGCCAAACCTGCAAGACTTGGAAAGACTTTACAAGTCAACCACTGCTATCTCTATAGCATAAATCACGTACAAATGAACCATCTTATGACTAATTCAGAAGTTAGGACATTTTCCTAATGTAGCAGTGTCTGTATCATTTAAGGTGGTTCAGATATACACCATAAACGTTGATTTACCTGACATAAGATTACGTACAGGAAGCGGCTAAACGTAAGCGAACAGCAAAGAGATAACTAAAACCAATGGTTGGTTATGACTTACACATACACACAGATTGGTGATGCACTTAATTGTGTATCTTTCTTGTGATCATTCCTTCACTTAATTCGTGAATTTTTTACGCCTATTATTTTCCTTCTTTTTCCTAACTTCCACATTGAATGTACGGTAAAGTGGATGACAGCATGCTTCTTCAAAATTCTTCATTATCAGTGTTTCTCAGTTGAGTGTGAATTATTTAATAAATAATATCCATAACTTTAATTAGACTATTGGCAAAGTGTAAAACCGATTATGCCAACATACAGAGAAACAAACACGCAAAAAGTAAAAAAGGTCTCCAAATGTATGGAATAAAAACTGAATTTTTTAAAGAAAATTAGGTCCAAAAGACAACAAATGAAAACAACAATTCATTATTAAGTAGACAATAGATATAAGGAAATTAGATGTTTGCTATTCGAAAAGTATTCTGTACAACGCTAAGATCTATTGTAACCAAGGCAACTTACCGCTTTAGGAATAAAATATTTCGCTCCAATTTTCTAGAAAAATAAAATTTTACTGGAGTGAGATAAAATTAATACATGTGATAGATACTTCGTTTGTAGAGCTACAAAAATCGGAGAAGGGCCATTATTTAGCGCTACTAGTAGTGAATACCGTTCATTGTGAGGTTTGCATGAGTACAGTATACGAAACACATATGCTAGTGCTGACGATACCCTTCTTCGATGACAAGTTACCAATAATACAAGTTTATTGTCAATTATTTATTTATTTTATTTCATTATTTTTTTTATTACAGCTTGATTCCACACCCTACAGGTATGGAATTTCCGGCATGTGATATCCGTAGCCCAAATTTTGCAGGCCGACCATAGATATCAGGTGTGTGTCGGCAAGGGATCGAACCCCGGACCATGTACATGGCTGGCAAGAGCCCTAACTACTGTGCCGCCGACGCACGTATTAAACCGAAACCAACAACTGCATAGAATAAGATAATATTATTTTATTGGTTTTTTGTCAAAAACGTAGAATCTAAAACACTGATTCAGTATATATATATGTATATATATATATATATATGAACTTCGAAAGAAGATTCTTTGGACATCTACCGGAAAGCCTACCTCTCAAAGGGAACAAAACGGTATTTCGTTGATAGGGGCCATGAAACAGACATCCTGATAAGTTTAACGAATATCAATAGACAATAAAAGTTGCCGAAAGAATTGCTATCAAACGTTTAAAACCCGATTTATATGTTTAGGAAGAAGTAGTTAACAGGCTCTTTTTGACTTGGTAACTTGATTTCTTAATTCTTCCTTTTATTAATTTGCGTAATCTTTCGTTCCAATCTCTTCCTTTTTAGAATATTATAATTTTGTTTTTGCTTTTATTATTTGAATTGAGGTTACCAGATTCTTAAACAACTTTCTAGTTTCAGGATTTCATCATGAGCAGCGTTAAAGAAGTTTCATCATAAATATAGCATGCACTTCGCTAGTACCTGTCGCTAATCTAAATCCAGACAGACAAACGACCATTATCAAAATACAAACTATGAGAATTATTAAAACCAACTCCGTGAATTTTCATTTTCACTAATGTAAGTGTAGGCGAATTAATAATTTTTTTAAAAAGTACAACAAAAAATAAAATACAAAAATACCAGACAAAATTCCAAAAGTTTTTCAAAGTCAAGTATGTGTGTAACTTAGCATGTTAATGTTCAGTCGTGCTATGCATACTACGACGTATCACCATTAGTGAGTCTTTGTTTTAACACAGTACAAGTGAATCTTTCTAAAGTGCACAGGTTGACTTCATTTGGCAGACAGTAAAACTAATAAACAAACATTCACTTAAATTTAATAAGCCATGAAAAAAGAGCGGTAGACGCAAATATGATGCGTTAAACTATGAGGTGATCCTTTATGCATATTACGCATTCTGTAGATAGTTACCATCACCTTATTTCTATGCTTACAAAACAAATTCAGACAGAAGTACATCGGTTTCTCTCTCTCTCTCTCTCTCTCTCTCTCTCTCTATATATATATATATATATATATATATATATATATATATATGGTGTGACTTTTATGCAAAGTTGTATGTTGCTATGTTTGTCTATTATAGGCTTATAACCTGTTTTATTTGAGCGTTATTACCTCCTTTTATACACCATGTTACCATAATACCTATAAATGCGAAGATGAATATCTAGCAATTAATACTGCTTAAATGAATGTTCATTGTTTATCTGTAAGACTGAAAAATCTGTGTTCAGTATTTGAGGTATCTGAAATATAAAATCCAGAAATAAATAATGTATGCGCTTTATAGAACTACTGTGAAAATGATACTTTCATTCTTTAGGTGTATATGCTGCATGATTGGCTCTCCATTTTCTTTTGTTCTTTTTGCTGGAGATAGATGCAAGGAAAGACTAACCCATGAAATGTATAGGGATTGGTTTCAAATAGTTGAGCATTGAGCTTGTTTAACCTGAACTTTATGCGCTTAGTTTGCTCAATGAATTTACTCAATCCTGTCTTCTCAGAGTCATTAGCATTTGGTCATAGTATTAAGCAACTGTGAGATACAGATAGGGGTGCATATTTGAAAGTGGTGAAAACTATCAGTTAAAAACTATATAGCCGCCTTGGGAATCTATTTTTTATTGACTGAGACTTTTACTACGAATGCAACTATATTAGCTAACAAATCCTTTACTGTTTAGTTCCTAGTGTTAGTATTGTCTGGAGGAAGCCGGATACGGCGTGCTTTTCATGAAGAGCAATTGCACTGGATTACAACACTATGTAGTGACACTTTTATCTGAAGAACGTAAAGACGACATGACTTGAAATGATCAACAATTGTTTTCAGTCGAAAACATTAGTGATCATGTGGTTTTCCTGTGTTGTTCGACTTGCAAAATAAACACAAAACTAGTGAAATCTCATTATAAGATTTTATTTTATTTTACTTTTCTTCATTTTTAACTTCAGTGTATTGTTTTATTATATTACCAGTGAAATTTCTTCTTTCAAATGTTTATTGTGCGTTTATAAATTAAATTATATAATATGCAAGTTCACTTTCGAAGTAGTAATACTTAAGTACACAGCTATCTGGATGCTTAATTTGCTTAATTAGTTAGCCATTTGTATCTCTTAACATCAACAAACTGGATAAAACAACTTTAAGGTCTCTACACATCAAAATGGTATGGTTTTCAAAAATGATACATATTCCCAGTAACTCTATACAATCCATACGCCTTAATAAATATTTAAATTAATCTGATTCGAAAAAGACAATAGGTTATGATGAGTGGAAGCTCTCATCTTTTATGCAATTCAGAATTTATCATATCGATTCACTTACCAAGAATTCATCAAATAAGTATATGTTGACGGTATCCGAGAATCGAGCATTGGCTTCAGCAACCTTCGGGCCATCGTTTGCTATTATGACAAGTTCTATAGACGATGAGAACTTTTCTAAAATGTGGCATGCCTCTGCACCTGAGTCACACATGACAACACGAAGTTCAGCTGTTATGTGAATGCCAAAAACATAAGTCAAAAAATATATTACATAAGGATGATTCAATGTTATAACTACAAAACATATTAATTACAATAAATTAGTCTTGCCTTTAAAAAATAATTTCAATTGAAATGACTTGGGTATAAGTTGTGACACTTTACTGATTATCAGATGCCAACGGAGATAAAGATCGTAAAGGTCAGATAGAAAACAACCTGAAGCCGTAAACTTATACATATTGGTTTCAACTGCTGAACAGATTTGCATAAACTGAGAAAGAATAACAGAAACGTAAAGATATCATTATAAAAGACAACTGCTTGCTGGAGAATAAGCAAAAGATGAACAACCAGAATTAGCTATGTTAGATTGTAAAATAAAACGAATAGAACAAGGTAAACTGCACACTAGCGTTTATACAAAACCAACGCATTCTAATAGATATTTAGACTTTAATTCATCTCATCCATTAACTGTTAAGACAAGCTTAGTTAAGTGTTTAACGAACCGAGCAGTAGCACTAAGTAATACATTAAAAAGACCTAAATGATGAAATAAAACAGATAGAAGAAGCGTTGGTGTCAAATAACTATCCTATAAAATTCATTGGGAAGATCAGAAAATGTCGAAAGCAAAATAGAAATAATAGCGAAACTGATAAGGATAACATAAATAAGAGAGGATATAAGGGATCTACTGTTATACCATATAAGAAGAGGACATCTGAGACCTTACGTGGCAGGATTCATAATAAGGCAGGAATTACAGTGGCATTTAAACCTACAAACTCACTTAGGTAGGACAAGCTCTGTAGGTGGGAGGACCCAGTTGACCTAATTAGACAAAATAATATTATTTACAAAATACCTTACAGTGACTGTAAGTTAAGTCAACTACATAGGTTAAACTAGTAGGTCAGGGGTAGTCAGACTGTCGGAACATAAGAATTTAGCTAAGGTAAGAATGGTTAACCACGAGAAGATAAGTAATTTAGAAAAAGGTTCAGCAATTGCAATGCATGCATCAACACACAACCACACAACAGGATGGGAGAGGGTTAAAATTCTAAAAAATAATCTAGATCGGTGGAGAGAGAGATTGATTACTGAATCCGTGTTCATCGAATCTACACTCAAGACATGCAATAAGGATGATTCATCACTCATACCCGAAATATGGAAAATATTACTACCAATCAAATCAAGGGAAAATCAAGTGAAAAATAATGGAACTATATAAATGAATTTAGGAAGTCGTGTGAGTACCTGGATATGATTATGAGCAATGAATTGTGCTTGAAACGTCATCAGTAAACATTACTGTATAAAACTGTGAGACTTTAAGAAAACAAATTTTACCCATAATGAAATTATACTCTACCACAGTGCACAAGTTTTATTCTTATATCAATACTTTTAGGAAGATAGGTATATCGGTACGACGGCCAAATCAAGTTACAACAGAAATTCATTAAGTCACTTTTGGTTGTCATTATTATTCATGTGATAAATGGTTTACTTCGTCGATAACTTTCTCGATACGTTGGAACTGAAAAGTTCCAAACGTCGTATGAAACCAAAAGACACTGATAACACAGAAACACATGCATTTTATCTTCAACTAAATCTTGGACGTACTCAACAACTATCACACCAGGAAAAATTAAGCATTGAGGACAGTAAATAAAGGATTTAAAAGCTGGAAACAATAATTTCAAAAGAACAATCTGCAAAAGATTAGTCGCCAAAAGTCGACACTTCTAACTGCGTATATCAATTTGAGTGTGTTTGCAGAAGCAAATATATAGGTCACGCGGAAAGGGTTTTTCCACTCGTGTGATGGAGAATTTGTCCAAGTGGTTAAAAAAGCTGAAGTCATGGTACCAAAACGTTCAGCATCAGAGCAGACATGATACTCACGTTTTCAAGTCATTCACAGTTCTCAGTAGACAAACGTTAAGGTGCTTGCAGTTGAGGAGGCTTGTGCAATTATGGTTTGTTTGCAGAAAGGAATGGTGATTGCTTTGATAAGATATTTTGATTAATAACTGTTACTATTGGTGTTATTATTGCCTTATTCCATTTCATAATTATTCTTATCTCAGTCAAAACTGTCTTTTGTCAGTACTGTCATCTTAACGCATTTCATTATTATTATTATTATTCAGTTTGAAATGCCTAACATTTTCAAGTTCTTTCTCTGTGATGTAACTGAACTGTAATCCACTGCATTATTAATTTTAATTTCTCGTACGCCTAGTCGCGTTAAGTATATGAACTTGACATTTGTACTAATCTTTATGCATATAGTCATATACTGCCCAATGTATTTCTGAGATTATATATACACCATCGTACGTTCAGTATTCAGCTGAAATTTGATGAATTCATTAAATCCTGTTTTATTAACATTTGTTGCTTGTTTTCATACCTCACTGAGAAAGTTAACGTTTCCAATTAATGACGAAATTATGCTTAAAAGCGCATACGCTTTTCTATACTACATACATTCCCTTGAAAATATCAGTTTCATTGATAAACTATTCTCAAAACAACAACTTAAATATCAACTCTCAAAATATATACATCATAGGTTATTAGTCGGAAATGATGTTACTTCTGAACATCTTACAAATGGCTTTCAACCAGATATCGTGGATATCTTGAAGGAGACAAAGCAGATATAACATAATGGAATTGCTTCTGTTTCTGCTCAGAGACCATTGCGTTATAGGATATACTGTCAATTAATATTTTACTTGAAGATATTGTACGAAGGGGAAATATCATGCAATAAACCCCTGTGAAAATTCTGTATATTTTATAAATACTGTTCACAATAAAGAAGTTATTATGATTATTATTACTTTTAAAGACTGACATTAAATCATATTTAAGCTATTTAAACATGATTGGCTGGTAATTAACATACAGAAAACAAAGTTTAAGTAAGTCTCCTTTTATTAAGGGAACTCAAATACTACAAATGAATTAAGTGGAGTATTAACACAATATAACCTGACAACCTAAGGCTATCTCAAAGATAGAGAGAGCGAGTCAGCATCAAAGAAATAAATATTTTATTCACATTGGACCATAGGAATTATTAAAAAGACGGTTGCAATAAAGAAAATCTTTTCGACAAAGTCATCAACTAGGCTGTACATTCGTGTATTTGTGATAAGTGGGTGGGAAAGTTCCAGAATAATTTCCAGTTAAGGGTCAAATTAATAAAATTACAATTATGAATTAAAATGGCATAATAAACAGGGGGCGGATAAAACTCGAAAAAAGTAGCACCATAATTAATTCGGAGATTACGCAGTTCTTCGTCAATCGCTTCCTCGCTGGATATCTCCAAAGAACCCTAATGGAAAACAGTTTTCCGCCCGGGTTCATAGACAAGAATCTCAAAGCAAACAAGATAAAACTCAAACAAAGTAGCATCATAATTACCGTGAATATTAAAATATTTTGCAATTGGGGGTTAGAAATGTAGAAATAACAAAAATAGACAGGATATTTGGATAAAAACATCTAATGGGATCATAACTGATGTAAAGAATGATTGTTTATGCAATCAGGAATTAAGTATGTAGAAATAATAAATAAATAAATAAATAAATAAATAAAATATGGTAGTGTAAATAGGGATTAAAACAACTTAAAAACAACATTGATAAACAGGAATTTTGGATAAGAAAGGAGATGGGATGGTCATTACTAAAAGAATTACCTGTTTATAATGGCCATGACTGGGACAAGGGTTGGACGTATTTCTTTTGGATACATAACGTGGGTTTGAGCTTTTGGATAGATAGTGCCCCAGCTATGCCCAGATGTCTTAATTTCACTCCCTCTGATAGGTTTGATCGGGTCTTGTATATTATTTTGAAGGATTTTTCGAACGGCTCTGAATGTCCTGAATTGATCAGATGTTCTGTCACTGAGCTATATACACGATTTTGATGTCCTTTTACTAGCCAGGCTGGATATTGTTCATGAGCGCGTTTTTCAAGTTGGCACATGGTACGGCCGATGTACTCAGCTCCTCAAGAGCAAGTTAACTGGTATATTCACAGCTTGTCTTTCGCGTTCTGGCTGAACAGCTTTTTGCAGGAAAACGTGAGTCGTAGGCTTACGGCGAAGTATGTTTTCCTCGGAGATTTTGAGAGGGGTTTACGAAGGAATTTTACTTTAATGTCACCTTAGAACTCTAAATTAAGCAAAAGTATTTTCTTTGAGACGGATTGGACTTGTTCGGAAGTCTTCTTTGCTTTGAGATTCTTGTCTATGAACCCGGGCGGAAAACTGTTTTCCATTAGGGTTCTTTGGAGATATCCAGCGAGGAAGCGATTGACGAAGAACTGCGTAATCTCCGAATTAATTATGGTGCTACTTTTTTCGAGTTTTATCCGCCCCCTGTTTATTATGCCATTTTAATTCATAATTGTAATTTTATTAATTTGACCCTTAACTGGAAATTATTCTGGAACTTTCCCACCCACTTATCACAAATACACGAATGTACAGCCTAGTTGATGACTTTGTCGAAAAGATTTTCTTTATTGCAACCGTCTTTTTAATAATTCCTATGATCCAATGTGTTTATTCCATGATTGGAAGAGAAGCAAGGACTGTTCGACAGTAAAGGGACTGAAAAAGTTTCTACGTTTGTCCATCAAACTTGCTGAGGCTAATGCAAAGATTTTCTTCTTGAAGGATTACCTCGAGAAACATAAATATTTCATTATTATTTCCATTCTGACATGAAGATAATTCTTATAACATTTAGATAAAGAAGGTGGAAACTGTCTCTAGCTCTGGTGAGAATAAGAGAACTTGTGGTTTCTTAAAGCAAAAATTTTTTTTTTTTTTTAGTGAGTATTGTCATCACATACGTTGTAGAGTTAAATGATTCCCACGAATTATCATAATTTGATTTTATTGCTGATTATGAATTAGGTAACTGAAGACATATTACTGCGATTTATATCAAAAAGTATTGTGTTAGTGAAATGTAAGTGTTGCTCTCAGTGAGTTTTTAGAGAACCTTAAAATGAACAATCGACCAGTATCGAACTTATTGAATCTCTAAATAGTTCATTAAACTGTAAACTCCAACTTATATTAAAGTAGAAGTTTGAGTTGAAATTTATTCAAACGGTTTCAGATAACGAGATTTCTTTTGAAACATCCATTTCAAATATACAATTGAGAATTTACTGAATTAACTGATACTGTGTTATATTATTTGCTTTTTACCAGGTGAAGTCATATTCAACAATCCTAATATAATTCATACATGGTGTCCGCAATACACCAGATGATGAAATGTATTAAATTTCATGAGAAAAATGATGGACATTAAATCTACTACATAATAATAATAATCAGGTGGTAAAAATTAGTATTTTATTAAATCCACTTATATTTAATAATATTTATTTGGTAAATCAAAGCAAAAACTATAAACAAAGACACTACTTACTCTGTGTAAGAATATGCTGCATAGCTTCATCGCCTAAAGTTGCGTAAATTGGAACAATAGGAAAGCCATACGCCACACAAGCGTGCTGAGTGATAAACCACTGGTAACAAAATGAAGAGGGAAGTCGAGATTGAATATTAAATTCGCTTTAGATGAATAAATGAGTGACTGCACTTTGATTGCATGTTCCTAGCAAAGTCTAACATATCCAGAAATTTCCATAGGCGCACTTTTTAGTTTCCTTAAAATATAAATTTCTCGAAGATGATATACACACTTAGTGTAACATTACGAGCACAATATTTTGTGTGAAGAGACTCCGTCAAATAATTTATTGTAAGACTGTACAATACAAAGTTCTATCGAATTTCACATTGTTATTACAAGTATTCACACCTTTGTTTAAATTTCCTCATGAGATATAGTTTCTTACAACTTATATATATATATATATATATATATATATATATATATATATATATACGATAGTATGGCTTCGTAATAAATTCGTTGAAAGAGATCTCTTAGTTAACAATGTAACGTACATCACAAGAGAGCTCTGAAATACCACCAAGCGGCCATATGGAGCTCAATAGCATAATGTAACAGGGACATTCTAACGATAATGAAAATGCAAATGTGAGGGACAAGTTTATGATATCTTTTGATGTATCCTCCTTGTTCACCAATGTACCATTAATAGAAACAGTGGATTTTATATGTGAAGAGATTACTACACGAAACATAGATATCGGGATTTCTGTAACCACCTTGAAGGAACTTATTTTAAGATGTACAATGAATGTTCATTTCTTATTCAATAAGGAATATTACATACAAATTGATGGTGTGGCTATGGGTTCCCCATTAGGTCCAATTCCAGCTGATTTTTTCCCCGCTAAATTAGAGAATGGACCACTGAAAGGAGTAATTAATGACATGGATTTCTGCTGTCGATATATGGATGATACATTTGTGGTTATTAAAGATGAGAATGATGCAATGAACATCCTTGACAAGTTTAATGATGCACATTCAGCAATAAACTTTACCATAGAGAAAGAAAGTAATGATAGTATCTCATTCCTAGACGTCTTCATGGTAAGGACAGAAGATGGCACACTAAGAAGAAGTGTGTATAGGAAGTCTACAACAACAGGTCAGTACACTCATTTTTTGAGTTTTGTACCTTTGAAATATAAACGTAACCTCGTGAAGTGTCTAGCTCATAGAGCTAGGTTAATCTGTTCAGACGACTGCCTCAATGAGGAGCTTAAGATTATTAGAGAATTACTCAGAAAAAATGGCTATCCAAATAAATTCATTGAGAAAAATATAAATTCAGCTCCAAGGAGAGACAGTATCGCCACGGTCCCGAAAAAACCAATGTTCATAAAATTGCAGTTCCTCGGTGACAACATCAGCGAATTAATAACACAGCGCCTGAAGGATGCAGTTAAAAGATTTTATTATGCAGCAGAGGTACGTTGTCTCTTTACAACCACACCTATTTTATGTTCGAGAAATAAGGATAAACTACCTAAATTCGCCTTCTCTTTGTGTATCTACCAGTTTGACTGCAGCTGCGGAGCCAGCTACATTGGGCGTACAGTTAGGCAAGTTCATCGTCGTATTTCCCAACATCATCCAACGTGGTTAAGTAAGGGACAAAAAAGATCTATCCGTAGCTCTATTTTAGCCCACCTCGTTGATACTGAGCATAAGATTGATGTTAATACAGTATTTAAAATTATTTATCGCATTCCGACTTATCTTAATTTTGCTCTGCAAGTTCGTCTTCTACAGACGGCTGAGGCGATTGGCATTCACCTGAAGAAGCCAAGCCTATGTGTACAGAAAAAATTTGTACAGCCACTTTCCCTACCGTGGCCATCGTCACAAGAATGGATAAACAGGACTGCGTCGCCCCCCTCCCCCTAAACCTATAAAATTATATTTGTCTAAATTATTTCATTTATTTTGACCACTTCATCTTTAATTTACTTGTTATCCTTGTAAAATTAATTTATTCTATCCATTTCCACCTTTTAAATCTGTATTGATTTTCTTCGTTAACTATTAACCCATTGACACTGTTTAATTATTGTTAACAAACTTATCGCCACTTGATTGGCAAACTGTTGTATTGTAATTAAAATGCTATATATATTAGAGTAGAGCCAAAGATGAGGATCTAATTGAAAAGTAAATATTTATTCGCTCAATCTTTCTGTTTTCTAAATGTCTAAATGGGGACTTTTTCTTTATTGAAAATGCAAATTACCATTCAACATTATGAAGCTGAACAGGTAGGCTGAATTCACGTCTGCCTCACACATCTTGAGATTGCTTACATTTCCACAGATTATTAGCATTTTTAAGCTTCAGAGCAATCTGTTTATCGAATTAAAAAAACTGACAATCTTTTAGTTTTTGCAGTGTGTAGAAATAAGGAATGAGTCACTCAAAGCTTTCATATCAAAAGTCTCTTCTTTCTAATTGCAGGTGTATGGTTGACTTTAAAACAACAATATGTGTGATTCAGTTATCTTTTGTTCACCATCTTCTAACTTCTCTCTGTGTCGAAGAATTTGATATTCTGGTTTCGCCTAGTGAAATGTGTGTTCTTATGAAGATCATTTTAGAAATTTTAGGTGATTAGGGTTGGTTTAGTGAAAACCACCAGAGAGTTCCTAAAAGAGTTGTTGAAACTAAAACTCCTACTAAGTGCTACTTTGATGTAGAAAAAAAGAGTTTGAACACAAACATACGAAAAAGACGTTAATTACAATGAGGTGAAAGCTATGGTGAAATATGTTTCAGAATTTGCTTCATTACAGCCCAACGATATCAAACATCTTTCAACCACCATGTATTAAGGTATACTGGTATGATCTTACGCTGGAATTTTTTTAATGTGTTATTTTAATTCTCGTGATGATTAAACAGAAGCGAAGTTCAAGCATAAGTAGGTTTTCAAGGCAATCAAGATATGTCTCAACCTAGACTTGATGAACTTGTATACTTAAGTAACCGCTGATATGACACAGTTAACTAAACCTTAGATGTAACTTATGTTGGATCCGTCAGTTATTCGATTGAAAATACAGTACCTAGATAAGATGAAATTCTAAAGTCCCATAAGTGGTATTCTGAGTAAAATTATATAATGATTTGTCAAAAAGCAGGATTTAAAGATGTGATGGAAGAAGAGATTATGTGTTTGAGAAGAAATTATTGTGTGGTTTATCAAAATAAAATCTTATCTATAGTGGAGTTATGCTCTACCACAGTGCTCAAGTTTTATACTTACACAACATTAGAGGAAACTAACTAGAGTTTAAAACAACTTGCCTCAGGTGAATTTCTTCCGTAAATGCCAACAAGGTTATCACTCAATGGAATAGGTTCAGTAAGCTTTACTAAGGCCGATCCAAAAGCCCGTATCCTATCTTCAACCTAAATAGACTTTAAGTCGATTCAACATTAGAACTCACTTCTATGTACTGTAACCATGTGTAAGATTCTTCCGTACTATAACGTCGTCCTAAGCAAGTTTCGAAACCTGTGAAAAAAAGTGAAAAGTGACGCTTAAGTTTATCTTAGGTTTGAACAGTTTTTTTCAAACTGTAAAAGTCCCCACCTAATTTATTACTCCCTGATCGATCACACATCATCTACAGTGATCCATATGCAGTTGACAATCAGACTTAAATGTGATAGGCATTGTTGTCAAAATCAGTTGAAAACCGATTGGACAATAAACCCAGTTTTTGTCATTATGACGACAGCAGTGATAATAGAAATAATCAATTTATACCATTAGCTTGCTAAATATGTACGTCAGGGTGACTTTTAATGACTCTAATTAAATTTTTCGAATTCAGGTTCATAATTCTTAATTCACAGGAAATCAATTCTTTTTAAATTTAGACTTAAGAGTAATGCTACTGGATAGAGAAGCGATAAAATATCACCAAAAGTGAGTTGTTAAATTTCAGATATCCACTTCATGAAGGTATGCTCAATGATTTGATATTTTGCACTGTTAAATTCATATCCATGAAGAGTTGGTGTATTGTGAAGTTATTCCGTTTAATAAGTGTTTGTAAACACGAAGTGATTACTGTTCAGTTTTTTTTTACAATTTTCGAGAAAATTTAGTGCTCACAATCGCGACAAAAGTTAAGTTTTCATATTTACAGATGTAAATAGTGTCGTAGCCAGAGTTTCCTTTTCAGGAGTAGGTTCTTTGTTGTACATATTTGAGGCGCTTTTATAGAATATCTCAGCAGTTATATGTATGAGTATGGATATAATCAATAATCTTCCCTTCCATTTCTTCACATTTAACTGAAAAAGTCAAACACCGTTCCTATTAATAATGCTTTTCACCCCATTTGTAAGACATTTTTAAAATGTTTCAGCTTTTATCACTCTCAAAAGCTAAAGTCTGGTCAGTTATGTTTGTTCATTCACTCTGTTCTTAAACGACTTAGACGTTTGAGCTACATAGTTAACCGAAAGGTTAGCAGAAGATACTCTGTACACTACATGCTTTTGTCATTCTACTTTTACTAAATCTTCTGACGTTTTAAGGCAGTAAAAATGTCCATCCTTTTTAAAAAAAATTGGATTGCCACTAACATGTATGTTAGTGTAACAACACTAAATAAACGCTTTCTAAGTCATATCTCTTATCAACTTCTAAAGTCAACATGACTGTACGATTAGTAAAGATTAGCTTGCAGGATGAAAATAATAGTATGTATGATATCTGCATTCCATCCCAAGCAAAGTACTAAGCCGCATCATCCTGGAGAAAATCAAACAAGCCCTGGATGAAAAACTTCGACCGGAACCGGCTGGATACAGGAGAAATAAATCATGTATTGATCAATTCGCCACACTACGGATAATCATTAAACAAATCTTGGAATGGCACTCACCTCTCTATCTCAACTTCATCGACATTGAAAAGGCCTTCGACAGCGTCGATCGAGAGCTCATTTGGTAACTACTTCGCTACTAAGGCGTGCCACCGACAATTATACATTTCATCCAACAGTTATACGACAATGCTGCATGCCATGTAATCCACAACGGGAAACTTACGGAAGCCTTCGAAGTGAGAACGGGAGTGAGGCAAGGCTGTCTACTAACGCCAATGATCTTCCTGATTGCAGTAGATTGGATAATGCGACAAAGAGCGGGCGATGAGGAGACAGGCCTAAAATGGACTCACACAAAAAACTAGGAGGGTCTGGACTTCGTCGATGATATATGTCTGATTTCCCACAAACTGGAAGATATGCAAGTGAAAAGCAGCAGGCTGGCAGAAGAAGCATCAAAGATAGGACTTCAGGTGAACACAGACTAAACAGAGGTGATGCAGATTCTTGGCCAACACCACCACCAACAACAACAGACAACAATCAGCCTGCATAAATGGGAGGAAACTGAAAGAAACAACCTCCTTTACCCACTGACCTGGGAAGCATCGTTTCAACTACAGGCGGGGCTGACCAGGATATCAAATCCGGAATCGGAAAAGCAAGATAAGCTTTCATTACTCTCAAATCTGTGTGGAGGTCAACAGCACTCAGCATCGAAAATAGAATCCGGATTTTCAACTCCAATGCGAAGTCAGTGCTACTATACGGATGGATCAGAGACTTGCACTGCGCGTCGTAAAGAGCATCTCAAACAAACTTCAGACCTTCATTAACAGTTGTCTTTGCTCAGTATCACTCAAGATCAGATGGCCAGCCAGAAAAGATCAGCAACAGGGATCTCTGGCAATGAGCGAACCAACCCAGCAGGAACCGATTGTGAAACAAATAGGCAGGAAGAAATGGAGGTGGATTGGATTGGCCATACTCTGAGAAAACAAACCATCAAGTGACATCACTAGACAAGTCATTGCTCGAGTGGAACCCGAAAGGGAAGCGGCGAGTTGGTTGTCAGTGCAAGGGTGACTTGGAGGAGGTCATGTGAGGAGGAGATGAAAGCGTGTGGGCAGACTTGGAGCGGGGTGAAAAAGTTGGCAGAGAACTGATAGCAATGGAGACGAGCGACTGAAGCCTATGTTCCTTATGTTCCTCTAGGAATTAAAGGAAATAATAATATCTGCATGACTATATAAGACATGTTTTTAAGCTATCCAAATACAGGGCAGTGATTTGACTGAGATCTAAACACATTTATTCTGGTGCACCTCAGTAGCCTAAAATCAGTTCTTATACTGGCAAGTTGATATCTGTTTGAAAAAGTGTGGATGCAAAATTTCAGCAGTTGTTAATATAAATATTTTTTCCAAAGTACATTCCGTTTCACTGATTTTAAGGAATTATAAATATTCCCACTACTGTGAAGAAAATTAAGTTGAGATACATGCTCCAGGCTTTTGGGCTTGTAGAATTTTGATTAATTTCAGTGTTTGTTTCATCACAAAGCAAAATCAGTTCGAGGATCATAGTTAATCAAAGATCAGTGAACGCAGCTGTTTCGTCACATTTGAGTCTTTGGAATTTTATTCAGTGACCAAATGGGAAATGCGCTTACCTTGTAGCCACAAAATACGTTAGATCTATCCCCAGTGGGATCAGCATTACGTACAAATGAAAAGTTCAAAACTAAGTCAAAGCAGTTGTCCAGTGTTCCTTGGTCTTCAAAGATTTTCTAATTTGAATCGGTTCGTGATAAAAATTTGCACTAAACAACCTTTAAAGTCTAGATGTTCATAATTCCCTATTCTTCCTATTTCGTAAACTTCAATCTATATTTTAATGTATATTTCACATATTGTCTTATTTACCTCAATGCCATTTAGAATGACAACTATTTGCTTTCCCCACATTCGTGTGATTATATACAGTTTAAGCCTTTGTAATTGTATGAATAATCACGTTCATAGAGTATCCAACTGAAAAGTCAAAGCTTAAATAATGAACTTAATAAACGCTAGTTTTTTTTCATGATTAGTGCTTGTATTAAGCACCAGTCTTCTCCTGAGTGCCGGCTTCTACTTATAACGTACGAAAGTAATCCAATTTTCAGTTTGCCACAATCAAATGTTTGTTTCTTCAAGGAAAACACAAATCAAGACCCGACAAAATCTGAAAACATTACTGTGACAGAGCATGAAGAATGCAAAACAGTTTTTTCCGGTGAAAAACTTACGTGACTTTTCCAAGCCCTTTTCAAATAAATCCTTCATTGTGCGAACATCCGAAAATCTCGCAGTACATCGCCTTGTAAAAGGTGATTTTCGAGTGCCTGTCTGGAATAACAAAAATTATACTACTAATAATGATAGTAATAATAATAACCAATAAACAGCGATATAAATTTTTCATAGCAAGTGTTTCTTTTCAAATTATGACATTTAAAGAGATTGACTTTTTGAAAATGCTAATTACATTTGTTGTAAAATGAAATGTCTACAAAGAGAAGTTTATTTGTTCTTCACTGCAGAAGAATGATGTCAGTTTATACTCGGCTCATAAGTGCAATGTACTTACTCTAAGCTTTAAAAACAGTACGAGAATAGTACTGAGGTGCGATTAGATGACTGACGAAGATAAACCCTTACTACCACAACATTTCACAGTTCAATGACAGAATGATCATGAGTCTTATACTGCGGTTAACACGTTCGGTTATTAGCTGGTTAGAACGGAATTCTCCCCCTGACGATGGCAACAACAAATTTTCCTTCAGAATCATTTGCGCACTTAGAAGATGATACTTTTGCTCACGTTTTACACTAAATCGAAAACGTTATTAGCATACTTCGTTTATTGCTGTTCCTAACAAGCACAAAAACATCTGATAATTCCAAACAGTTTACCTAACACAAACATCCGTAACCCTTTTCAGTACGGTATTTGCAAGTTTATGTAATAAACGAGTAATTCTCAGACTCAAGTCACTTATATAGTCTCCCCACAAATCTATGAACACATTGGATTTAAAAGCCGAATTTAAGAACTAATGTAGAATTAAACAGTTTGAAATTTATAATTATCTGTTTTATACTTTCCTATAAGCAAAAATAAAATGTCTAACCTTGGGGTCCACTAAGATGGACTGTTGGTTTAAATGTGGGCATATAAAGGGTTCTGACAAGTCTGGCTTGTATACTTTGCGATAAAGTTCGGGGTATTCCGATTGAGAGCCTAAAAGTGAAGATGTTTTGATATCAGATAAACCATAGAATGATAGTGAAAAGTGATAACATCCAAAACATATACACCATCACATGACACATGAATGCAAATAATATTAGTTAGATGTAAGCTTCTTAAACTCTAAAGTTTCATGTTATGTTGCGTATCCGATGTTTACTACTTAGTAAAAGACAATTACACAAAGACACATTTCCCCCCCCCAACACTCAGACAACAGAGATTGTATTTGTGGCTAAAGAAAGATCAGCAGACTGACTAAATTAATACATATCTTTTCATACAGCCGGTACCCTTTACTAGCTTTAATAGAGAACGAACGAATGGACAAACCTTTTCATTCTCATTTCATCGAAAATGACAGTATATCGACAGTACTATTGTTATTATTGTTCCCTTGGGTTCCTAGTGGAACATAAGGCTTCAACTGCGCGTCTCCCCTTCCTTCTGTTTTCTGCTGTACTTCTCACCTGCATCTATGTTAGTCCATACTCTTTCAGCCCCTCTTCACACGATCTCCTTCATGTCACCCATTCGACACTTCCCTTCCGGGTTCCACTCGAGCAGTCGCCTTACGCGCGGTGTTACCCAGCGGTCTTCTCAGCAAGTGTCCGATCCATCTCCACTTTCTCCTGCATATTCGTTGGTTGGTGATTGTTTCTTGCTTCGTTTCTTCCCATAGTTTCTTGTCGGTGATTCTTTCCGGCCCGGCCGTCTGATCTTCAATATAGAGCGAAGACAGTTGTTGCTAAATGTCTGCAACAGGCTGTTGGAAATATTCTTTGTCACCCGCCCGCCAAGTTTCTGATCCTTATAGAAGAACTGACTGACTTGACGTTTGTGTTGAAAATCTACCCGAATTTTGTTGTTGATGCTGAGTGACAAAGATTTCCAGATTGGTTTCAGGTTGATGAATGTGTTTGTCGCCTTCCCGATTCTCGATTTGACATCCACGTCCTTTCTTCCTGTAGTTGAGACAATGCTTCCTCCCTTGATAAGTGAATGAAATAACCTCTTTCAAATCCCTCCCGTTGATGGTGATTGGCGCTGGGTGTTGCTGCTGTTGTTGTTGTTGACTGGTTATTTTCGTAGCCTCCGTCTTGTCTATGTTCACCTGGAGTCCTGTCTTTGCTGCTTCTTTGATCACTTTGTCAGTTTTCGCTTGTTAGTCTTCGATTTTGTGTGACATCAATCATAAATCATCCGCGCTCGAAATCCAGGTCTTCTAAGTTCTTCACGTCAGTCCAGGATATCCCTGTCTACTCGTTTCCCACTGTCTGACGCATAATCCAGTCCACCAAAATTAGGAACATCATTGGTGATAATAAGCACCCTTGTCTGACTCCTGTGTTTACTCCACACGCCTCAATGAGTTGTTTGGAGTACTAAGGCGATGTGAATTTATGCCACTTAAAAATCCCCACTGAGTCATATAAAAGGAAAGATGTTCAGTGAAGAGTTACTCTTTTCAGAGATATCATTCTCAAGCTGTACAATCGCATATATATATATATATATATATATATATATATATATATATATATATATATATATATATGATATCGCTGTAAAGAGTAACTCTTCACTGAACATCTTTCCTTTTATATGACTCAGCTGGGATTTTTAAGTGGCATAAATTCATATCGCCTTAGTACTGTTTATACACTGTCAGTTGCGATGAAATTAGAGCGAAAAGGTTTGTCGGGAATTCGAGTACGTATAATGCTGTTTGTTCGAAATAACCAGTTTCACACTAGAATAGGAAAGAATTGAAAATGCAAAGAAATGTGGCATGCCACCAATGAGTGAAGATTTATAAAAGTTCATGACAAAAAATGGAATATACAAATAATCACATTTTGGCATTTCGTATTTTGAGTAATCAAATTATCACATATCATACGACAGCACTATTACAGTCAGGTAGGTACCAACAGGTTATCAGGCATATCGTGTGAAAACAAGGGCATCGAGTCTAGACAAAGAAATGGCTTAGATTTAAATTCAAAATAAATGTAGACATTATTACTTAAAAAGTGAAATAAAATAGGTTACAGAAGTAAATTTCGACAGGCCAACTGAAGATTGGGATTTTCAGATAGAATAAAGAGTAAAATTAAAAATATAAACGCATCTCGGAATAAAGTGACCGATGATCATCTTTTCAATAATATAGTAAATTTCATTGCTCTTCAGGCAGCAATAAAAGTAAGAGTCAATTAATTCTGATTATATTTAAAATTAATACTAAGGAATACGGTGTTTTTTTTCCTTGGTAATCGGAAAACACCTATTTTGTACATTATCCAGTTGGGAAACCTGATCTGCCTAGCCGGTGAATTAAATTCAACCATTACTTCCATATTAAATCTGTGTGTGGTAAGTTCAGCTGCCTCGAACTACTGCCAAAGCTTCCGGGGTTACATCTACAACAGCATCTTCCTCACTCGTTCCGAAAAACAAGACTTATTGGTCTGCCACGTGATCCCAGTCAAGCGGAGAAACCTAACACTACTAGGTAAAGTCAAAAACCTTTTATTTTTGTTATCTTACACTTTATCAATCTATTTGCTCTTGTTCTAGCGGGCAGATTCTACCGCTATCTCTTGTTCATATATAAGCATAAATTATAGTAATTTTTAATATGGTGGTTGAAAGTAGCCTTAAAAAGAAGACACTATATACTGTAGTGACTGGGGATTCAGTCAGAGGAGGAAATTACCCAGGGATATTAGCCTAATCTCACATACCGTTTCTTAAGACCTGTGTACATACTCCCTGCTCTGATGGTATGCCTACAACGCCACAGTCCAGCACTGAAACTGCACGGGTGAAACCAAGTGGACACGATACTACAACTGCATCCATAGGAAACCAGTGTGTGACACACAGCAAAATTAAAAAGAAACGCTGAAGACGTCATAAGACTTCGAAAGAGTCTTCTAAAAAAGGACACGAGTGCCAGGCCTGTAGTTTTGTTGTTTCCAAAAGTAACTCAGCATTTGAATGTCACTTTTTCAAATGATGTGTGTACTGCCATTGTAACAAAGGAGTGTCAAAACCATATTACGAGTTTATGAGAAATAACTTGTGCCCGTGGTTGTGGAACATTTGTCTACTCTTTCGCCCTGGCACAGTCTTACATAGCATGTCCCCGGATAACGAAAATAGCGCGCCACTTTTTCGTCTCGATAGAGTCCCATGCAACGCTCCACTTGACAACGCCACATCAACAAAACTTAGTAAAAACCATGAAAAAGATACTCCAGCTCAATCGACTGGAAATATCTATCTTTATAAATTGAAGACTTGCGAGTTTACGCCCGGAACTGTAAGGGACGACGCGATTGCCAAAGGAACACTCGCACTCGCTAGGAAGCATGGCAACATAAAAATGACTTGTCAGATCCTGATGAAGTCTAGAACGACCGACCCTACAAAGGAGGACGAGCATTCAAAGGCCAAACTTATGTCCTATGTAAGTTGATCTAACCAATGTGCAACAGTAGTTTGCTTGAACAAAGGGCTCTGTTTGATCAGGAACAGTGGTCTAATTAGTGCAATAAATTAGGACTGGACATCAGTTTAGCAAAACAGTGCAGACTTCACCGGGGTGTTAAGGCACCTCAAGGTAAGCCACCTCCGTTAAGGATGACCCTGGGCTCAGTTGAAGAGGCCTAAAGAATACTGTTACTTGCTCAAATATAAGCCATCGACAGGATCCCCAACATAAGAGTGAGATATTATAGGCCATGGGCTAAAATGCGAACGGCGAGGGAGTTAACGGAACTGATGGCATACGCGGTGTTCCGAAACTGGAAACTGGCAATTTGTGAAATCACATGCATGACGTACAGCAATGAAGATGGGAGTCAACTGAGATGGGTCTTGGAGCTTCTGGAGCAGTTTCCATTTTCGGCCACCTCACTCAGCTCATTTCACACAGATTAGCTCCCCAAGGCTGCTAAGTGTCAAATTCAGCTCCCAGGAGCAGTTGGCTGTAGTACTTCAACGGTGGTACAAAAGCAAGGATAAAATAGGAGAACATATCCGATGCTGCGAAAGCAGACCTCGAACCACAAGTAGGCAGCAAACTGATGCCACAATACGTCTGTATGTCTCAGTGACACTACAGAGATGCGGTATTGAGAGTGGCAGTCAGTGTCAATCAAGCGTTCTTGCTGAATCCAAGGAACATCGATAGCATTCCGGTTCCAGCGGAAGTGGCCAACTACTCCCAATGTAAAATCCTTTACTGGTAGCAAACATCAAGCCAACTACCCCACAACAATCTAAGATTGTGAGACTCACTGTCAGCTGTCCACATAACAATGTGAGAGGGCTGAGAAAGAAAGTAGGTGAACTCCGAGACCTCCAGTCCCACCTACATCTTAAAATAATCATCCTTACTGAAACCTGATTAACCCCCACCATTGTCAGCAACGAAATCAGTATAACTGATATGGTTCTGGTCAGGTGTGACAAGGATAACAAGGAAGGAAGGGGATTTGCCATTCGCTTTGACAACCAACTTAAATGCGTACGTGCGAAAGACCCACTACTTATCGAACTCCCAAACTCCATATAGTGCCATTTCACTATGGGCTACATCAAGCATTTACTGAGTGGCATCGACCAATCACCTACATGTAGGGCAGATCACAGCCAGCTACTGCACATCAGAGGGAGACGGAACTTGGAATATGCCCAAATCATTATTGCTGGAGATTTCAGTTTCCCATCCCTGAAGCCTGGCTCGGAGTGTGTTCAAGGAAAATTTGATCGGAATCTGCTACAAACCATTAGAAATATAGGACTGAATGGGGACGACGGATACGACACTAGGAGGGGCCCTAGCGGAAAATCATCGAAACTAGATTATATTCTAACTGGTGACGCCCCTTTAGACTGCAGAATGCAAGATACACCGTGTGCAGCGAAAGCTTGTCCTTGTTCAACTTCGAAGAGAGACTTAGTTCTAGTTCTAACGAAGAAACTGGACACAAGTGTGAGTTACACGAGGGATGCGGCGAAGGTACATGCGGCCATACACTTTACACATAGACAGTTAGGTGCACTCAATCCTGAACTCTTTTTAAGGTTGTACAAAACATGATTCAGTGCAAAATGTCATTGCGCCGACTGCTTAGAAGAGACGCAAACCTTTTGGAAAGAGTCCAAAGACGGGCGACAAAAGGGTTGATGGGTCTCCGAAACCATACGATGAATGGCTTAAGAAATAAGGTCTCTTTATACTTAGCCCCAGGCAGACTTGATTACTGCCAATGGGATCACAAATTACCAGAATCGCCAAAACAAAGGTGTTCTGCCGTTAAGTAAGTATGGCCTCCGGCGTCGGAATCCCCTAAGGAGAGCTCACCAGAGAGCGAAGACTCGAGTGCGTTTACATTTTTTTTTCACTGAGAATTTGCCGTCACTGTAACTCCTTACTGGCAGATGTAACTACGGCACCGTCCGTTGACAGATTTGAGCAAAGGCTGAGACACAAGTTTTGCGTCCAAAGGGCTTATCCCCTAAAAATCTCACACAAAATTAATGGGTGGACATCTAGGCTCATTGTTTTACTTCTTCACATTCTCTCTTGTCCTACTATACTGACTGCTCCAACTATTAAGTCCACTACACCATTATTATTATTCATTAGCTGTCTGTTTTTACCTTTTCCTCCTTTCAGTCTACATAACCTACACTAATCATATCTGTTATTATTATTACCTCTTTTCTTTTGTCGGCTGACTGGTGAAATTATCAGCTCCATTCACAGTAGCAACAATGTCTTAACAAACCGCTTACCACAAACTAAATGTAATCCTAGCGACACTCCTTTTTGGAGTCAACAAAGCTACAACAGCAAGTTGGAGAGACGAACTACGCAGATGTCTACTGAAGACCATGAACCTTTACCTAACCAGCAAGAATCAAGCACAAAGAAATCAAATTGCTATGCACTAGCTCGTAATAAACTATATTTAAAATTGAAATCCAATTAGCACTGGGTTTGCTAACCAGAGTTGTTTTAGCTCTCTCAGCCCAGATTCATCAATTACTGACAATACTACGGGACCAAAAGATTTAATTCAGCACATAGTAACAACTTTTCAGTTTTATTTCAACAATAAAGCCATTATTTCACCTGCGGATACTATTTTTAAGGTTTCGTCGCATTCATTAAGCGTCTAGTGACCACTTTAAGAATGATCAACATTAATTCAGTGCATGATAGTTTCATTTAAGGTAGATAAAATATTAATTTACCACAAAAAGGCATTATCGACTCCGATGTTAGAATTAGTTCAATATTATTATAATCTTTGATACGGACTCCAGTCAGGGCTAAGGTTCATCGGAGTGACTGCCATAGTTTAATTTCTTGCTAATTAGGCAATATAAAAATAATACAAATAGAAAGGATGAATATGAGTATGAAGAAGGAATATTCCTTCTTGATATATGAGTACTTAAAAACTCATATATCAATCCACAAATCTAAATTACGCAACATAACGACTAAACACATAGTATTTTCCGTGTTTTCACTGATTGAAAAACTCACTCACCTTGTCTGCAGTAATTCATTATAACTTATATAACTTATAACGTAAATACGAACAAAACTCAAACGCGAACACTATATCAGATAGAAACTGCTTCAATTTGTCCTTGAGAGATACACGGTTAAAACACACCACCAAGCACTAGCATACATACCATTTCCTTTGGCATTTTTTTAGATTTCTCCCAAAGGAATACATTATTTTCTTTCTAAAAATGTCTTCAGTATGATAATTTTGGGTTGGGCATGATATCGTATGTCATGATGGCATCTTCTGGTTCTGTGGTAGCTGAGGTTATGTAGATGTGGCTCTCACAGTTGCCCTCCATGCTGTCAGCATTTAGTTTCAATGATATTTTTAGTAGCATACATTTTTACCCTTTTTATGAGATTCGTGTCTCATTTATGGGAGACATGATGCAGGGATATAGTGAAGATCTAAATGTGGCTGTATGCAAGTTTCGCACATCTGCATGCAGAATACAAGTACAATTACCGATGCATGTGATGCAGTGCGTCCATGGTTTTGTCCACTCCCTGTTTAATCAGCGTCTGTGTCTAATTAACTGTTCGGAGTAGCTCGAGGAACGAAATCGTTGCTGACCAATGAAAATGATCCGTCCAAATCTCATTCTCAGGGCCACAAGAATCGATCATTTTTAGCTTGTGTTTCGACCCGCATTTCACGAGTCCTTTGAGCTTTCGAGTTGAGAACCTAGTGACTTTGGTGGTCATGCAGCGTCATAATTAACTTCAGAGACTTTGTTAATGTTCCTTCAGGTGGTTAACTTAGATGAAGTGTGCTGGTCTTATGAACTGCTATCCCTTCACCGTCTCTCCCTCCTGGGTTGGAATATACTAGGTTGGTCGCACAAAGGAAGTCTTTATCGTTCTCCAAGAAAACCGTTCTGCCTTTCGCTGTTAGGCTGCTTTTGATAAGGTTCTGCTTTGGAAAAACATACCGCAGGACAAAGTACCTACGTCCTGTTAGACAAACGTATTGATATCATGGGCATGGATTGTGGAAAAATCTTATCGCTTTTTTAGTGTAACCAATTCCTAATGGAATTTAAATTGAAAGCTCCATCATCTCTGGCGACTACACGCTATGAAGTATTTCAATAATCACCTTTCATAAGCTCTGTTATTATTCTTTCTGTGCATATCACGACCAATACTTCACCTAGACATTTTAGATAGGACACCATCACTAAGTTAAAATGGAATCGTACCGAGTTCCGCTTACTCTGGAAAGCGTCCTAAGTAGAAATGTTGTGTAGACGTCATGAGATACAGGTTCGCTAGTTAGTTTTATTCTCGCGAAAACTGAGTGACTCCAGGCCCATGCCAAGAGTCCACGTCTGACAACACTGGACTTCACGCTGTCCTTAGAAGACTTTCAGCAAAAATGTGTAATAACCAACGCCAAAAACCAGAACACAGATTGCTAACTCAAGAATCCTTTATTCGTCAACCAATATCGAACCAAACATAAGGTTATTGTACACAAAGTCTAGGAAAAATGTCATAAAAGTAAATCGCAATAACACTTCTGATAGTATTTCTCCCCCTTCCAACGAACAGCGAACGATGGAACGATGACTGCAGTATCGATGACTCCAGACCAAAATATAGAGTTAGGTTTGAGCAAACAGCCATGAATTGATCGTTCAATCTTCATCTACATTGACACTCCCCGGCATAAAAAAGACCCGTCCCTTTCTTCCATCACAAACAATACACGTTGACTCGAAAGACAGTGTGGAAACCTGTGCCACACGGACAAAGCTTAAATGGAAAACAAACAGAAAAGCCAATACGCACCACACGTATACCCACAGCACTATCTCACACATCGATGACGACCTACACATTTGAATTAAAGGCATCCTCTTAACATCTTGCAACACAGTCGCCACCTGCTAGAATGACTCTTGCAGGGCGCAACGTGACCATAGAATCACCTCATGATATTCCTCGAACATCCTCTTATCTATCCAGTACCAAATACCACTGCGATCGCTTGTCACTCAAACTGCCTCAGTTCTAGTGAAGGTGACTGTCAGCCAAGTCTCATAAACCGTTAATGCCCAGCTCTCGCTACGCTCGGGCCCACGCTGTTCTTAGAAGATTTCTCAGAAACGCTTAGTTATAACGGACGCAAAAACCAAAACACCGATCTGCCGTTTGATATTTGTTTATTGTTACACCAACATATAAAAGGAATAAGCGAACTAAGCAAACTAAGGTCTGAAAACAAATATTACAATAATAAATCTCTGTATTACTTCTGACGATGTTTCAATCTTCTTTCTGAACAGCGACCGATGAGACGATGACTGTCGTATTGATGCTTCCGCGAAAATTGGGGAAGTTGATTTTAAGCAAACAACCAAGAATTGATCGTTCAATCTTCAACTCCATTGACACTCCTCGGCAAAAAAGGGATCCAACACTTTTTTCCTTCACGATCAATGCACGTTGACTTGGATGCCATTGCGAGAACCTGGGTCACACGGACAGAGCTGAAATGGAAAACAAACAGAAAAGCCAACACACCACAAGCATACCCACAGCACAATCTCACACATCAATGACGACCTGCGCCTCCAGACAGAGACCTCCTCTTGACATCTTCCAACACAATCGCCACTTACTAGAATGACTCTTGCAGAATGCAACGTGACCATAGCAGCACCTCATGATACTCTTCAAGCATCCTCTTTTCTATTCACTATCAATTATCACTGAAATCGCTTGTCACTCATTCTGCCTCAGTTCTAGTAGCGGTGACGCATGCGAGCCTCAGTCGTTTACACTCTTTCTCCCCGGCGTGTCGGACCGCAGCTAACAATTATCCCCGTATACATTTCATTCTCAGCACTAGCCTAGCCTCCCCGCCGTATACGACCCATCTGCTGTCCTTAACATCAATCAGTTCATTCACGGATGTAGAAGAGTGGCCACAACTTCAGAAGTAATCACGACGAAAATTTTAACAAAATTATGCAATAACAACAAGGTACGAAAACAACGAGTAAACACAATGAATTCAAATAACACCAATTGCTATGACACACCACACGTATATACAAACAGTACACACAAACTCGCATTTCATGTCTTGATGGAATACCCTTGAAGAATTGCAGGACTTACACCAGTACGCCTACAAACCTTCACAGGTTGACCATTGTAAGTTGTGGAATGTCCGGACACAAACAGAATTACCAACAGCTAGATGACAGATGATATCAATTCAGTATATACAATATGAACATATATACAAAATCACACACCGAGGACATTGGACTGCTCATTGATGCGCTCCCCTTTGAAGAATTGTAGGACTTACAACAGTACGCCTACAACCCTTCTCAGGTTGACGCTCTAAGTTGGAAAATCGTCGCAGAGTTCATTTGCTAACTTCCTTCTATCAGCTATATCCTCAAATCTGAACGGCAACACGCCCATGTCATTGTATCGTAGAATATAGATGACCAACAAACACACGACATATCTCATCAACCAAGTATAGAAACAGAGTAATTTACACCAAAGATAATAACATTCAAATAGTAACTTGAAACTAGAAATGCCTTTATTCATGCAAGTCAATTTAACAATAACTCTCTCCTTTACACTTGGCTTATCCACACTAAACTGACCATTGATATTCGTCCTTTCAAACGAACTGATACTACCATAGTCATTGCACAAGATACTGGAGTTCATGGGTGTCTGTTTCATTGTGGATGACAGCACCAACGACGACTGATTGATATCAGTTGATGAAGTTAGCGGTGGATCAAAATATGTTGTTGCTCGCTTTTCAGAAATTTGTCTACCTGCAAGACCACCACCACTGCTGTCTTTTAATATCAGCTCACGTTTAACACTAGCATCTGATGATAGGTGGGCTACATGCTGATCACTCCCACTGACGGTCTCACAAGTATGCATGCCTTCTGCAACTGAATCTGCATTTATTTCTACTTCACGTTCAAGTTGTACAGAACCTTTATTTAACTTAGCAGTAGTAGGCATATCCCTCATCTCATAATGATCAACCAAAGACAACTGTGAAGTATCATGATCATTCTCACGAATATTCACTTTACCGTCAACTTCATCATTTTCAAACTCTTTAATAACAGAAGTAGACAATTTTGGTTCCTCCTCGCAAATCATAAAAGGTTTTATAACTTCACTCTGACTAGTAATACCTTGTAAACTTGTAGAGTCAGAACTCCACTCTGAAGCAGTAACTCTATTCTGTGACACTCTATTCAACAATGGCTTACCAGTTGCAACTACAGACTTCTTCATCGCACCGTTATCGTCACACAATTCGGAGTCAGACCTGGAGTTTACATTTAGCTTATCACTGAACTTGCTCACCGGTTCACAGTTCACTTCTGTATGCACCTCTTGCACACGTGTAAAACACAACCGTGTTTGTCTTGCATCTTGTAACTTATCTGTTGAGCACGTACTACGAAACCTGTTACACTCACTAGGTCTATATGCATTACTAGACATCATGGAGTCTTCTCGATATCCAACTCTCTGAGGCCTACTCGTCATCAATGATTGCATTTTGATCTCAGACTGCTCTATTCTAGGGGTGAGATCTAATAGACTCGCGAACTTGCTCATAGATTGATTGACACTAGTATTTACCAGTTTCAGGATATCATCAAACTTTGGCTCGATACCCTCATCCTCCATACGGGAGCTTATCTTCGCCCACTTCCTTTGCAATCGAGTAGGTAGACGTCTTGCTATTACTTCTAGTATAAAACTCGAGTTGAGGTCACTCATTCGATTCATCGAAATCATTCCATTCTTGTAAATTAGCAAATTATCCAAAAACTCAGTGAGTGCCTGGGAGTCATCCTGTAACTGACCACCATTACCCTCAACAGCCTCGAATAATTTCCCTGCGATCATCGAAGGTCTTCCAAACCTTTGACGTAATATGCTCATAGCCTCATCGTAGCCCTCTTTTGGCTTCATAAAC